GCTCCGGGTGGACCTATTTTCTTACTCTATGAGTTGGAAATCTACTGTGATTTACTTACTGTATGAGTTGGAAATCTACTGTGATTATTTTTCCAGCTACTGAAATGTATTCAAACATTATGTTCAGGACCTGGGGAAATAACCATATAATGAGTTGTGGGTCACACATACCCAACTGTGAGGGAGTCTTGGGTGAAAATTCTTTTTTTTTTTTGCCATACATGGGCCTCTCACTGTTGTGGCCTCTCCCATTGTGGAGCACAGGCTCCGGACACGCAGGCTCAGCAGCCATGGCTCACGGGCCCAGCCGCTCCGTGGCACGTGGGATCCTCCCGGACCGGGTCACGAACCCGCGTCCCCTGCATCGGCAGGCGGACTCTCAACCACTGCGCCACCAGGGAAGCCCCTAAAATTCTTTTCATAACTTATAGTTCTGGGAGTATAACATATTGAATATTTATATCTGTGTGTATTGTGGAGGGGGTCTTCTCATTGGGGAAAAAGCCTAGATAATTCATGAGACATAATTTTTGGTATTTTGGGGCTTGAAGGAATTCAGGGTAATCTCAAAAGATCTAGGGTTAAGAAAAAGAAAAAAAAAAAAAGAAAATCTGTGAGGAGTCAGCAAACAGCAAACACACAGGGGAAAGTAGGGATTTCTCCAAAGTCAGGAACCGAATTGTCACTGCTTCCAAGAAACTGTGCCTTGGCCTGGTGACAGGGTAGGGGTGAGAAGTTGCTAAATCTGAGTGTCCAGAATAAGCCTAGGAAACTTGAAGGTGGTCTGAGTGGTCACAGGTTGGTAGCCTGTCCTAGCTCAAGGCTGAAGGAAACCAAATCCTTGCTAAATATCTTCATTTTAGGCTTTTAGGTTTCCACTCATTAAAATCAACCAAATATAAGCCTATCATCAAAGATTACTAAACATGCAAAGGAACTAAACTACATGAGTGAGAGTTAGTCTAGGTAACCTATGACATATGAGACCCTCAAGACTCTGAACATGGGAATCATAAAATAGACTTCCATAAGATGCAGAACATCAAATGATATTTTATAAAGTTAAGAAAAAATAGAAGATGGAATAACCAAAATGTGCAAACTACAAGGCACTCTTTAAAATGTCTGGGCATATATAAAACAGTATGAATGAACAATACAATTTTTAGAAATGCAAAATGTAGTTGTTGAAAAATGAACAGATTGGTTAAAGAGCAAATTAGATATAAGGTAAGAGAAATGAGTTAACTGAGAGACAGACCTGAAGAAATTAACTGGGATACAACACAGAGAAATAAGGAGGTATAAAATAGGAAAGAAATGTTAAGAGATGTGGAGGATAGAAAGAGGAGGTCTAACATCATGTTACTTGAAGTATAATACATGGAACAGTAGCAAGAGCCCTGCTTAGGAGATTGTTAGAAATTCAGACTCAGGGCTTCCCTGGTGGCGCAGTGGTTGAGGGTCCGCCTGCCGATGCAGGGGACGCGGGTTCGTGCCCGGGTCCAGGAAGATCCCACATGCCGCGGAGTGGCTGGGCCTGTGAGCCATGGCCGCTGAGCCTGCGCGTCCGGAGCCTGTGCTCCACAGCGGGAGAGGCCACAACAGTGAGAGGCCCGTGTACCGCAAAACAAAACAAAACAAAACAAAAAAAATTCAGACTCAGCCTCTCTGATGACCTCTTGAATCCAAATCTGCATTGGTCAATAAACTCCCCATGTGGTTCATATGTACCCAAAGGTTTGAGAAACTGGGTGAACAAATTTATAATTTGAATCCCAGAGAGAGAATATAAAGAGAATGGAGAAGAAGCAATATTCAAAGAGATAACGAATTGATGGATGACATGAATTCACTTATTCATACCAAGAAGAATAAATCAGAAGAAATTTTACACCTAGAAAGATTATAATCAAACTAGAACACCAAAACCCAAAAATAAATCCTAGAGAGAAAAGACAATTAGACATTTGACATCTACAGTGATTTCAATAGCAACAATAGAAGCAGAAGAAAGTGGAATAATATCTTCAAAGTGCTGGGAAAAAAAAAAAAACCTCTCTGTATCCACCAAAACTACCTTTTAAGAAGAAAGGCAAAATAAAGACATTTCATAACCAAAAATGGAGAGAATTTATGAACAGATCTATACTTGAGAACTTCTGAAGGAAGCATTTAAGGAAGAAGAAAGATTATTCTAAAAGGCATGCAAGGAGTGGCGAACAAAGAAACTGATAAACCTGTAAATAAGTCTAAACAAACATGATCTGTATAAAATCATATCTAATTTGTGAGAATTAAACAAAGGGCAGAATTAAAATACTTGACAATTAGTATTATGTAAATTGGGAGGGGTGGTTAAAATTAAAGTGTTTTTAAATCTTTGTATCATCTGGGTTAAGGTCAATATGTTAACCATGGTCTGCACTGTGCTAGGTACTCACCATAATATTTCCAGGAAAACCCCTAGAAGAATAGAAATAAACAGTATAAATTTTCAGAAGAAAGTACAGTTATCAGAAAGAGTGCATAACTTCCAGTTTGATTTTAAAATAAAATTGTTTACATTAGTTTTAAATGTATCTAGTATGGAATCAAAGTACGATAGCATTTGAGATATACCATCACCTATTTAAAAGAACAAAATTGTCATTAATAAGCAGAAATTTTGCATTGCTCTAGTTTTCAATTTAGGCTAGATTTCCATTTCCCTCTTTCTGATACATTTTTTAAAATTTTATTGAAGTACGGTTAATTTGCAATGTTGTGTTAATTTCTTCTGTAGAGTAAAGTGACTCAGTTATACATATATATATATTATTTTTCATATTCTTTTCCATATGGCTTGTCACAGGATATTGAATATAGTTCCCTGTGCTACACAGTAGGACCTTGTTGTTTATCCATCCCAAATGTGATAGTTTGTCTCTGCTAACCCCAAACTCCCAGGCCTTCCCTCCCCCACACCCCTCCTCGTTGGCAATGACAAGTCTGTTATCCGTATCTGTGCATTTCCCTCTTCCTTCAAAAGTTATAATAATATATAGTTGGCCCTCTGTATCCACAGTTTTCTGCATCCTCAGATTCAACCAACCATGAATCAAAAGTGGTTTTAGTCCGTGGATGGGAAACCCACAGATATGGAGGGCCAGCTCTTTTCTTTGTACTACCAAGGGACTTGAGCACCTGAGGATTTTGGTATCCATGGAGGCACCTGGAACCAATCACCCTCAGATACGGAGGGACAACTATACTTCCTGGTAGAAAGTTTTTTACTGATCTATCACAACTCTTTCCATAATCATGGGTATAGATTAATATTAATTTTTATTTCCTATGATACGTCTATTTTTTTTTTTTGCAGTACGCGGCCCTCTCACTGTTGTGGCCTTTACCGTTGCGGAGCACAGGCTCTAGACGCGCAGGCTCAGTGGCCATGGCTCACGGGCCTAGCCGCTCCGCGGCATGTGGCATCTTCCCGGACCGGGGCACGAACCCGTGTCCCCTGCATCGGCAGGCGGACTCTCAACCACTGCACCACCAGAGAAGCCCCTGATATGTCTATTTTATTAAAATTTAAAATTTAGTTACTATTACACTTACTATTAGTGCACAATTGGTCAAAACAACATACGTATTCCACATTTTGACCAATATAACTAAACATACAAAGTAAAATTTTATTGCAAATGCATCACTTATTGGGACAGTACTGCTTGGTTTCAATGAATTTATGTATCCAAGAGCTGGTAGAAAGACACAAGATTTAGCAGTAATTGTATTCCTATTTTGTGTTATATAAGATGTAAATCCTGAGAAAATTTTTCACACAAATAAGTAGATGAGAATAGAAGGAGTTTTATTATAGAAAGTCACCCACAGTGAAATTCCTTTAACACAACTGAATGATGATTTCTGAAGAAGGGAAGCTGATGTAATCCCTTTTTTAAAAAAAAAAATGGCAGTAAAATATACATAGCATAAAATTTAACCTTTTAATTACTTTTAACTGTATTCATTGGCATTAAGTACTTTCATATTGTTGCACAACCATTACCACCAACCATCTCCAGAACTTCATCTCCCAAAACTGCAACTCTGAACTCATTAAACACCAACTCCCCATTCCTCCCTTCCCAGCCCCTGGACAACACCATTCTACTTTCTGTCTCTGTGAATTTGACTACTCTAGATATCTTGTATAAGTGGAATCATACAATATTTGTCCTCTTGTGACTGGTCTGTTTCACTTAGCATGATGTCTTTGAGCATAATGTCATCCGTGTTTTAGCATATCAGAATTTATTTCCTTTTTAAAGCTGAATGATATTGTACTGTATGTATACAGCACGTTTTGTTTATCCATTCATCTGTTGATGGACACTTGTGTTGTTTCCACTTTTGATGGTTGAGAAAAATTGAATCCCTCTTTAGTAAGATAAGTAATGGACAGTTATGATATCCAGTTGCAACCTTCTGCTTCTTATTTGGTACACATCCAAATGAGTTTTCCTTTAGTCTCTAGTGGGCAAATTACAAAGTAGTAAGCAAGCACAATTCCTCTGACCAAAGAAGCCAGTTATAAAAATTTTCCTACTTCCATTTCCTTCCCTTGTTGAATGTTTGTAAATTATCTGTGGAGAATAAAATTAAATGGTCATGCTTTTGAGGTGCCAGACTATAGGAACACCAGTGACAGTTCCAAGTCCAAGACTTTCCAAATAAAGGAAGGATTTCACATGGCTGAGAAATCGCCTGGCCGGCAATGCTTGCTTTTCCAAGTGTCTCCAATGTATTCCAAGCGTAATGCATTACTTACTATACCCCGCTCTTTTTTTTTTTTTTTTTCTGTAAAAAGCTTTATGGTTTCCATTTGGTCCAAGGCTTGGGAGAGAGCTCCAGGGCGGTTAAAAAGCTGCCTAGTGGATGCAGGGAGGGGCTTCAGGCAGAAACCCCGACGCCAGAGGGGCTCCTCAAAGGCCGCTGGGCTCCAGGGGCACCTACTCGTGCTGGAGGGTGAGCCTTTCCAAGAGAGACCCACCCAGCCCAGCCTGGGGACCAGCCGGCCTTTGGAGGTTGGTCAGGTGGTCACCCATCTTCTTGATGAGTTTCACCTGCTCATCTAGGACAAGGCTCTCCAGGAAGTCACAGAGGCGGGGTCTGCGCGGGCAGAACCCAGGGCACACACCTGGTTCACGTTCTCCTCCACGAGCACGGCAGCTTCCATAGCATCCTGGGTTTTACTCCACTCATCTGGAGATGGCTTCCGCACGTTCTGGAAGAGGGCACGGCCGCCACGCTGGTTTTGTGTTTTCAGGAGATGCTTGGCTCCGTCGCACTTCTCCTTGGCCAATTCACGGAAGAAGTGGCCCATGCCCTCCAGGGCCACGTTGTCACAGTCGAAATAGAAGCTCAGAGAGAGGGAGGTGTAGGAGGCCCGCAGATGCGTGTCGGCCAGGGGGTTGACAGTAGCCTCCACCTCAGTGGGATAATTCTGACGAATCTGGAAACTCGTGGTTGATCGGTAGAAAGCAGTTAAGCTCAAAAAGTGGTGTTGGCTGGTCCCGGTGACCAAGGGTAGCTGAGTGGCTGATTCTGAAGGTTGCGACTGGAAAAAAGGTTGGAGGGTGATCGGAGGCTGGAGCAGGGGATGTCCCTCTGGGTCTGTCCCACCCAAACACTATTGAAGCAAGAGACAGATCCGCGGCACTGCCTAGCACACTGCCTACACCCTGACCTCCTCTGCTGCAGTGAATGAATCTTATCAGTCCTTGTCTTAGTTTTCTATTGCTGCATAACAAATGACTGCAAATTTCAAAGCTTAAAGCAGCACACAGGGCTTCCCTGGTGGCGCAGTGGTTGAGAGTCCGCCTGCCGATGCAGGGGACACAGGTTCGTGCCCCGGTCCGGGAAGATCCCACATGCCGCGGAGCGGCTGGGCCCGTGAGCCATGGCCGCTGAGCCTGCGCGTCCAGAGCCTGTTGCTCCGCAACGGGAGAGGCCACAACAGTGAGAGGCCCGCGTACCGCAAAAAAAAAAAAAAAAAAGCAGCACACACTCGTGAGCACACAGTTCTATGGATCAGAAGTCTAGGTGGGTTCAACTACATCCTATGTATAAGATCTCACAAGGCTGAAGTCAGGGTGTCGGCTGGGCTGGGCTGGGCTCTTATCTGGAGGCTCTGGGAGATAATCTGCTTCCAAACTCATTCATATTGTTGGCAGAATCGGGTTCCTTGAGGCTGTAGATCAGAGGTTCCCTGTTTCCTTGTTGGCTGTCAGCAAGGGGTTGCTCTCTGTTCCTAAATGCTGCTTGCATTCCTTCTCATGAGGCCATTTCCATCTTTAATCTAGCAATGGCACACTGAGTTCTTCCCATGTTTTAAATTTCTGTGCCTTCCTCTTATGCTTTTGGCTGGAGAAAGCTCCGTGATTTTAAGGGCTTGTGATGAGTTCAGGCCTGCCTAGATTATGCCGAAGAACATAACATAATCACAGGAATGAAACGTCATCATATTAATAGGTTCTGGAGATGAGAGCAGAAAAGTCCTGCCTACCATAGTCTACCTTCTTACCTCCTCACCAAATTCACACTCTTCCCAAGTATAAAATACATCCATCTATGAAAGCCCGTCTATAAAAAACCCACAGCAAACATTATACTAAATGGTGAAAGTCTGGAGACTTCCTGCCTAAAATCAGGAACAAAATAGGCATGTCTGTGCTTACCACTTCTATTCAACATTGTACTGGGGGTCTGAAGAGGACACTTAGGTGAGAAAAAAAATAAAAGTTATTCCTTGGAAAAGAAGAAGTAAAGCTATCTTTATTTGAAGATAACATGATTTTTTTGTATGTAGACCTTTTTCCTAAAGAATCCTAAAATTGTTAGAAATAATAAATGAGTTCAGGAAGGTTTCAGGATACAAGATCAATATAGAAAATTTAATTGTATTTCTGTACTCTAGCAATGAGACAATTCAAAAATGAAATTAAGAAAATTCCATTTGTAATAGCATCAAAAAGAATAAAATACTTAGGAATAAATTTAACATAAGAAGTGTAAAAGTTGTACTCTGAAAATTATAAAACATTATTGGAGGAAATTAAAGAAACCTAACAAATGGAAAGACGTTCCATGTTCATGAATTGGAAAATGCAGTGTTAAGATGGCAATACTCTCAAAACTGACATGCAGATTCAATACAATCTGTCAAAATCCTAGCCTTTTTTTTTTTTTTTTTGCATAAATTGACAAGTTGGGAGTTCCCTGGCGATCCAATGGTTAGGACTCTGTGCTCTCACTGCCGAGGGCCCAGGTTCAATCCCTGGCCAGGGAACTAAGATCCCGCAAGCCTCCCGGCATGGCCAAAAAAGAAAAAAAAAAAAAAGAAAAAGGAAATTGACAAGCTGATCCTAAAATTCTTATGGAAAGGCAAAGGACCCAGAATAGCCAAAGTAATCTTGAAAAAGAAGAACAAAATTGGAGAACTCACTCATACTTCCTGATTCCAAAACTTACCACACAGCTGCAGTAATCAAGACTGTGTGGTACTGGCATGAAGAGAAACAGGTCAATGGAATACAGTTGAAAGTCCAGAGATAAACCTTTAACTTTATTGTCAACAGATTTTCAACAAAGGTACCAAGACAACTCAAAATGGGGAAAGAATAGTATTTTCAACAAATGGTGCTGGGACAGCTGGCTATCTACATGCAAAAGAATGAAGTTAGAGTGTTAACTTCTTACACAAAAATTAACTCAAAACAGACCATAGACCCAAATGTAAGAGGTAAAGCTATAAAACTCTAAGAAGAAAACATAGGAGTAAGTCTTCATGACCTTAGGTAGTCAGTGGTTTCTTAGATATGACACCAAAAGCATAAGCAACAAAAGAAAAATCAGATACATTGGAGTGCATCAAAATGAAAACCCTTTGTGTTTCAAAGGACAGCATCAAGAACTTGAAAACACAATCCAGAGAATGGGAGAAAATATTTGTGAAACATTTATCTGATAAGAGACTTGTATCCTGAATATGTAATGAACTCCTACAACTCAACAATAAAAAGTCAAATAACCCAGTTTCAAAAAATTGAATAGACATTTCTCTAAAGACTACATACAAGGAATATATACAAGTGGTCAATAAAGCACATGAAATTAGGCATTAGGGAAATATTAAGCAAAACTGTAACACTCCATACCTATAGAATGGCTGTAATTAAAAAGATGGGTAATAAGTGTTGGTGAGGATGTGTGAGTAGGCAAGTGTATAGAGATAGAAAGCAGATTAGTTGTCTGTGGTTGTACTGGGGGAAAATAGTGAGTGCTAATGGGTATGGGGTTTGGGGGGGCTGATGAAAACATTTTGTAATTAGATAATGGTGATAGTTGCATAAGTCTGTGAATATACTAAAAACCATTGAGAAATACACTTCAACAGTGTGAGCTTTAAGAAATGTGAATTATATCTCAACGAAGTTGTTTTTAAGGTAAAAAGAAAATTTAACCTGGCATCGAGGTATGAGTGATTGGGGTGGATGAGGGAAGTAGAATAACAGGTTAATAGACTATTGATTTCAGTGTTAGTGATGGCAATGGGGAAAAAAATGCAAGAACCATAACCAAAGGGAGACTTAAAGGATGTAGTAATTCCCACAGCAAAAGGAGTGACAAAGGAAAGGATCAATAGGCTTTGTTCACATGTAACTCAGAAGATGGCTGGGCCACGGAGAAGCGAGTGACAAGGGATGCGGGCAAAATGATGTTGGGTTTGGAGATCTGAGTGGAACGTGAAAGAGTAAAAGGGAGACGGTCAAAAGCCACTGAGTGCCTGTACTTAAATTAACAGCTAACATTTATATAGAACTAGCTACATGCCAGATACCATTCTAAGCGCTTAGCACGCATTAATTCAATGGAACCCTTGCAGCAGCTAGAGATAGGGACTACAAATATCTCCATTTTACAGATGAAGAAACTGAGGCACTGAAAAGTTGAATAATTGCTCAGGGTAGAATATGAATGTATGTTCTGAACTTCTGTGCCTCTATAGAGCCTTTCTAGAGTTTAACAAACAGATAGTAGACATTTTATAAGTAATACTCATCTCCTCAATTCACAATTATTCTTCACTGACTGATGGTTTACAAACAGCAAACAAATCATCATAGAGTAATTTAGTCTTAATTTATGTAACTTGACTTTGGAATCTATCTGGAAATAAACCCAGCCACGTTGATGGCAAATAAACTTGCTGTCACCGGGGTCTGGCACTTCAGGCAGATGTGAAGGGCAAGTTTAGAGGGATTCCTTTATCAACCAAGGGTAAGACGGATGTCTACTCATATCCCCTCTGACACACTGCCATCCTCTGTGAAAGAAATTCTGCTCTGTTGGTCTCCCTCTGGCTTCTGTAACATAGGTAGAGGATTGTCTTTCTGAAGAGCTTGAGATTTTACTTCTACTAGGCGTTATTAGTTTTGCAGCTATCTTTCTGGCATGATTCCTAAAATTTAATTTGCAGAAATAATTGTTTCTCTAAAAATAATGGCTCACGGCATTCCCCTGATGTTTAAAATGGCTTACCTCTATCACTCATTATGAGATCATTATGTTTCGTTTATTTCATTTTTCTAAAGGAAGTTACACTGTCCGGGGTATATTGCTATGAATGAGGGGTTTGGGGAAGGGCAGTCACGCACAGCCTGCTGACCTCGCAGGGATGCATAAGAGCGTGCCTCGGGCCTGGAACGTTTCCTTACCTGGAGCCCTCACCACCTGTGCTGAGCATACTGCCTTATTTGTGAATCTCTTTTCCTGTTCTAGGTTTGATGTGTATTTCTTTGTTCTGCTTCAAGTGTGTGCATATGGCACCTGGACAACCCCACTGCTGTGTTTGTTCCTGGTGGGGAGAGAAGGGGGTCCTTTGCCTCTATCACAGAAGGGGTGTGTGCAGACCTGTGTCAGCTGTGGGTCAAGGTGCGCTGGCCATGGGGCACCCACACTCGCTATCAAGGCTGATCTTGCTCTGTCTGTTCTCTGAGTGTTGTTCCATCCAGTGTCTGTGGGAGTCATGTTTTTCTCAGCAACCCATGCAACCATGCAACCTGCAACCCATGCAACCATGCGACCTGCAAACCATGCAACACATATAACCATGCAACTTGCAAACCATGCAACCCATACAACCATGCAGCCTGCAGCCCATGCAACCTGCAAACCATGCAACCTGCAAACCATGCAGTGGGTTGACATTCTGGGACTCCTTCCCTGGAGGTAGTAACAGGTGTCACTTGCTTAACAAGCACCCAAACTGTATCTGAAGAAGTAAGAGACCAGATGTTAAACCTATTAGGCTAATGTCAAGCCTTCAAGAGCTAAAAATCAAAATCCAATAGTATTATTTTTAAAATACAGATAACCAAAAAGAAAGCCATTTGTCATTCCATAACTAAAGCACAGTCACTGATAAAGTTTCAGGGCTTATCTTTGCAGTTTTTTTCTTCCTTCTTAAATATACATTTAAAAAAGTATTAGGTTTACAGATGAGTTTCCAGGAGAGTACAATATAGAGTTTTCTATATACCCTGTACCCAGTTTCTCTATTATTAACATCTTGTATTAGTATGGTGTCTTTGTTAAAATTAATAAACCAATATTTATATGTTGTTAATTAAGTAATATACTTTATTCGGACTTCCTTAGTTTTTACCCAGTATCCTTTCTCTGTTTCAGGATCCCATCCATGAGACCACATTACATTTAGTCATCCTGTCTCCTTAGGTCTTTCTTGGCTATGACATTTTCTCACACTTTCCTTGTTTTTTTTTTTGTTTTTTTTTTCGGTACGCGGGCCTCTCACTGCTGTGGCCTCTCCCGTT